CAAATCCAAACTTATGATTTGGACATTGAAGGGTCTCCGTGTACTGAACCCAACGTGTTTTCAAACTTATGTTACTCATTATGTGCTCTAAGTTACAGTTAAAGAAGTTAATTAACTTCTTTTTTCTTGTACTTTTGTTCATGTTTTGTCTATACATAATTTTTTTTATTAGGAACTTGACCATTTGAACATTTCTACATGTAAAACAGACAAGATTATATACAAAACTCCATTTTATACAGCTTGGTTTTTTAATGTGTATCTGTATCTATATATCTATATATGTATCCATATATCAAATTTAATATGATAGTACCAACACTGCCATGTTTGCCTATAACCCCTTTCTGAATTTCCTTCTACTCTTTTCTCTTTATATTTGAAATGTTTTGTTGATGCATTAATCTTTTATTCCCTCTTTTTTTATATCACCACTATTACTAGCTTAACCCCAAACATAATTCCACTCCCCATCCCTAAAGAAAGTCAAAATGCTCTATTTAACCAATACGCATTTTCAAGCAAAGCAAAATCACATATTAGTCGTATCTGAGAATACTGTCTCAGTCTGTACCTTTAGTCCGCAACTCCCTGACAGGGCGTATGAAGCACGTTTCATCATTAATCTTCTGGAGTCATGATTTGTCATTAAATTGGTCAAGGACCTTAACAAAGAGTTATTTAAATAAGCAAGTAGATATCAAAGGACTAACAACTTTTAAAATCTCTTTGGCCAAGCTCCAAATTGATTTGGGGAAAAACACACACATTGACACACACATTCATAAATACATACATTATTGTTGTTAGTCTTTCATTTTTGAAGAGGACCATGACATACACATCACACACACACACACACATATATATACATACACACAGAGTTGTTTTTTGTCCTTGTCCTTTGTTTTTGAAGAAGATCAATGGCATCATGGGTTAATGCTTTGACCTGTGCATGAATTGCATCCATGCACAGATATGTATACACACATATACATACAATATAATATAATAAATATCCATTTATTTATCTATAATTCCAAAAGTCTTAATGATATATAATATACATATATTATGTATATTTGAAATATAAACATTATATGTATATATATGTATATATAGTTATATACATGCTGATAGACTGACAGATAGATAGATGAAAAACTGGGGGAAACAACATTACATTTAAATGAATACTACTTAGAAAAGAGAATCTATCTTGTCTAGGACCTAGAACCTATATTATTTACAATTTATAATAAATTATTTTTATGGTAACTTTTGGAGAATGGGGAGAGATCTAGAAATAAGCAATTAAATCATATCATTTTCTCTGTCCAGAATATCCATCATCTGACCACTTCATATATTTATTTCTCTATAAAGCCTTACTTGTTTCCCTTTGTGTCATGTATTTAGAGCACTTTACTTTGCAGTTTATTTTATTTTTTATGTAATACTTGTGTCAGCAACTAGAATCACATGAAGAACCCAGATAAATTTTGGGGGATTTTCCGATTTCTCTTGACTTGTATAATCTTACTTAAGAAATCCTGGAAAATTAATGCATATTATTTCCTGAGCATTCTGAGATGAACTCCACACTTTTAAGTTCAAAGTTGGCAAATGGGAGAAATGCAAGACTTCCCAAAAGGAAATTCTGGTGACAGCACAGCTGATTTTGGAGGGAACAAAAAAAGAGGAAGTTGCTAAAGAAGTCAATGTAGCTAATCATAGGTTATAAAAAGAGGTGTGAAAAATGTACAAATAATAGAGATCACAGCAGACTATTAGTGTAGTGTCAGAAAGACTAATAGCCTGCATGAATTGAGGCAAATGATGAAGTCTAAATGACTGGAAAAGGTATTATTTCAGTTTTCTTTTACGTACTTATAGGGTTGATGGCGTCATAATCAGAGAAAATGAGGAAAAGATTGAAGGAATGAAAAAGTACGTGTTTACCATGTGCTAAGTAGCATGCTATAAAAATAGAAAATCAATGTAATCACTAATCTCTAAGAGTTCACATTCAAATGGAGGTAGACTATATATACACATATTCACGTGTATATGTATGCATGTATATGTATATACACATACATATATACATACCTACGCACATATATACACATTTATACATGCTTATATACGTATACATATATGTATACGAGAGAGAGGGTTCACCCACAGGGAGGATGGAAGGACCCATGGATACCTAGGATGTGGCTTTCATGATGGAAGATGGAAAGGCTCAGGGATCCTTGGAGTGAAGCTTAGGTATAGGCGGTAAGGACCAGTAATATAAAGGGACAATGACAGGATTTGCAACAAGACAAATAAGGCCTTAGGATATTAGTGAAACTCTTCTGCTACACTATTCCTATTTTTCTCCTTTTTCTTCTACAAAGAAATACCTTAAACATAATAAATAGGTAATTACAAAACTTTATTTGATTTTAATTGGCATGTTTTCCCTGTAATTTTTTATATTGCCCTTTAAATACTTCATTGTCTTTCAAATCATTTAAAAAAGCCTAGTAGGGAAGAGCCAGGCAATATTTTTTTTGTTTGTTTTTGTTTTGTTTTGTTTTTTGTCTAGACAATGGGGTTAATTGACTTTCTCAGGGTCATACAGCTAGTAAGTGTTATGTATCTGAGGCCGGATTCGAACTCAGGTCCTCCTGACTTCAGGGCTGGTGCTCTATCCACTGCACCACCTAGCTGCTCCCAGGTGGTATTTTGGATAGGCATATTGAAGGAGAAACATTTCCATCCTCTTACATGACAAGCTAGAAAAATTAAAAGACAAAACAGTCTAGATATTATCTACCAGGAAATATAAGCAGGGCTTGCTATTGTTGGAAGAGGGGAGAGAGGAAAAGTCTTCTTTATGATCATGGGCTCAGAGTATCCTTTCTAACCATTAGTGAAAATTTTCTCTTATCTAAAATATTTCTTATTGAGGACAGTAGTTTCTTTTCTTTCAGTATTTTCTCAGTGAATATGAACATGAACAGTTAATGGTCTGCATATTCTGTAAATCAGATGTTTTGTTTTTGTTTCCTGGATATCCTTGGCCTTTATTTAAAATAAGTTGAAGAAACTATCCCCAGCCTTTCAGACTACTCATAGTAGTCAGAGAAATCAGTAACAACAATAAAAATAATGTATAAGTACATACTTTATTTTATTGTTCCTAACTGGGGCATTTGCCTTTTCAAAAACTTTTCGGAACTGAAATGAGTATGTGCAAGGAGCAAATGGAAATGCCAAGAAGTGTCACTGTGGTGCACAAGAAAGAGCACTAATTTGAGAATAATATTTCAATTCCTACGGAATGATGAAACAGCTCTTTTAATCTTTGAATGCCCTCCCTCCCTTCCTTTTCTCTGATGGGGATTCAGAGGAAGGTTAACATATACTTTCATTTTCACTATGTTGCATTACCAGTGAGTTAGAAGGAACATGGCTGGTGAGTGGGGATCTTTTTTTATCTATAGGGTGGGAGTATTCAAGCCTAACTTGAGGGATTGCCTTCCTGTTACTAAACCTGGGAGTTCAGAGCAGAAGGACACATCAGGGAATTGCTTTCTGAAGATTGTGCTGCCTTTTGAAGCTGGAATTTTTCTTATGCCAGGTTTATGCAGGGAAAATGATAACAAGGACCCGGGAGTTAGATCCCATCTCCAAACTTCTGGAAAGAGAGGTGGAAGGAAAACTGACTTTATAACTCTTTCCTTATGCTTTTTCTCTGGTTACCTTTTGAAAAAAATTGTGTTTTTTTTTTTCCTTTCCTGTTCTGTTACTTTCCAGGAGTATGACTGATTAAAATGCTGAAGGTCTATAGGCCTCAGCATGATAGAACTTTATAACTGCAAGGGATAGTAGAGTCTGTTGTGTACCAAACTGTCATTTTATAGAGGAAAATACTGAGGCCTGTTATGGGCTTGCCCATGGTCATACAGAGTAAGAGAAAGAGTCAGAAACAAACCTAGGGCCTCTGACTGCTTTTCTGATGTCTTTTTACTGTGATTAAAAGAACTCAAGATATAGTTCCAATCTCAAACTTCCTGAAATGGAGAAAGAGAATTCCCTCCACCTCATATCATGAGCCCAAACTGAAAGCTGCCTTACTTTCTTTAATCCAATCTCTTCTCTCCTTCTCTATGCCCCCCATTCCACTCCACACTAGAAAAAAAATACCACAAATAGTTACATTCAAATTCTGGTCTATCAAGGAGATTTGCTTGTGTAAGAGAGTGTTTTCATTTACAGAGAAAACACCTCAGCATATTTCTTTCTGAGGGCTTTTCAAATCTCTGCTCTGAGTGAAGGGCGCACAAATTGCAACTATAGTCTCTGGATATAGCTCCTGGATCACAGATTTAGAGCTGGAAGGTTACTTTGAGGCTGTCTTTTTCACTGTCTTCCTTTAACAAAAGAGGACACTGATGTCCTCAGAGGTTAATTGACAAGGAGATATATGAGGCAAAATTTAAAATCAAGTTTTTTTTCTAACATTCTATCCACTATGGTAAACAGTGCTGCTTCATAGCAGCTCAAAGAACTCATTCTTTATTTTTTTTAAGAAACACTAATTTTGACTGTCATGATTAGTTTTTAATGACTATACACTGTCAAAACAATGGAAGAAATATGGCTGTCTTTTACATTCTTTAGGTTTCAGTTTCATTGAATCATAGAACTTCTGATCCTTTACATTTCCTTCAGAATATCTAATTTAACCACCCATTTTACAGTTGGTGAAACTGTGGCTGACAGTAAAATGAACTCACACTATTTACTAACATTATTAGAACATAGTAAAGCATGGATCAAACATAGGTGTTACATTTGTTTCCTATGCTAACTTTATTTCTTATCTGTAAAGTGATTAAGTCACACTGAGTTATTTACGAAGGCTTTTCTATTCTGAAATGAGATGATTTTCTCACAAGATCTCTAAACTGTAAATAATACTTCTGCTGTGCTTTTAACAGAACAAAAGAAGAATGATGATCCAGTGCAGAAGGGAAAGACTGAGGCCACAAAAATGTTTAAAGATATTTGTGGTGATTTGATTGAGCAAGAAGTTTTTAATCCAAACCAGATAAGGAATACAAAAAAACAATTTTCATCAGTCAAGGACAGGAGTGAAGACTTGGTTAAGACTGTCACTCTTAAAAGTGGCCAAATTGGCCAAATTGTTTTGAAAAGATTACTGACAGCCACAAGACAACTGCATTCAGGTACGACTCAATAATGACGTTACCTAAAAGACTCACATCATGTCATCTCTCCCCTCATGATCCCCCTTCTACTTAGAACTCAATAGCTGGATTTATCACTATTCCAGAAATCACAGGGAAAATGGATTGACTCCATCCTGAAGGCATTACAGTTCTGGTATTCCAAGGGCCTGCTTTCATTGTTTTCTTGCCATGGCTTGCTGTCATCATCTTGCTATTATTTTTCTCAGCCTCTCAATCTTATTATTGGATTCCAACCTGGTATCTTTCTTTTGCTTGAAGGACTCTTGCTCTGGAGTTTGGGCAATTCAGGAAGCTGAGAGAAATCTGTATAGTCACATCCAACTTTCTCAGCATGTGACCTTTGAATGTTAGAATTCAGATGCCTCTGATCCTTACCAGAAGCTATTCTATGGGCTAAAGATTTAAGGAAACCTAAAAGTGCTTTCCATCCCTTGCCTATTGTCAACTTACACAGTTTCAGTTGCTGGAGTATCATAGATTTAGCAGAAGAGATCTCAAATACTGAATCAGTGTTCATATCATTTACTTAATGCATAAGTTCTGATAACTGAATTGGCTATTAAAGAATAAATCAGGTCCCTTTTTCTTGTAACTCAGAAATTACAGAGAAAGATGACTCAGAGACATATAAGAAACAATGTGCTGCAACGGATAGAGTACTGGATTTGTAATCAGGAGTGTGAGAATTTAAATGTTGAATCTAATACTAACAATGTAACTATACACAAGCCTCATATTTTTATGAACTTTAAAAACTTTCTTAAATTAACTACTAAGTGAAAGAAGTTCCCAAACCAACAAAATCATACTCATATTCCTCTCTTTTATTCATTTATTTATTTATTCATTCATTCATTCATTCATTCATTCATTCATTCATTCATTTATTTATTTATATTATTTGTTTGTTTGTTTATTTTTTTTGCATAAGGAATCCAAGCCAAAGATGAAAACTCAGAGCCAATAGAAAATGCAGGGATTTCGCAGAGAGTGGTTTCCCTCTTATTAGGTTACTATGCCTCCAAAGCAAGAAATGGATTGAAATCCACTTTTGCTAATCTCCTTCTTAAACTACAAATGAACTTAAAGGGGTGAAGTACTAAGCAAAGATGTCCTCAGATAAGTGGTGTGATGCAAAGGGGACAGTTAGGGGATAGAAAACAGAAGGCCTGGGTTCAGTTAAGGTTCTTCTTTCATTGTGTGTATTCATGTTTGTAACTTAAACTAACTCAATCTTGAGTGCCTCCCTTAAAAAATGGAACTAATAATTTTGAACTTGCCTTTCTTTCAAGTTCATTCAGAAGACCAAAAAAAAATATAATTTGGAATTGTTCTTATGCTTATATGTTGCTGTTTTTCATTGGTTTTCTGTCATGTCTGACTCTTTGTGACCCTATTTAGGTTTCTCTTGGTAAAGATATTGGAGTGATTTGCTATTTCTTTTCCAGCTCAGTTTACAGAAGAAGGAATTGAGGTAAACCTGGTTAAGTGATTTGCCTAGGGCAATTTAGCTAGTAATTGTCTGAGGACAGATTTAAATTCAAGAAATTGAGTCTTCCTAGCTTCAGGCCTTGCACTCTATTTACTGTGTCCCCTACATAATGTTATGCTCACATAAATATAAATATAAGGTTATCAATTACTCTACCACCAATATATTTTTTTTCAAAAATGGTTCAATTACATTCCAGATAGTCCTTAAAATAATATCTCTCAGTCTAGTATGAGATAAGTTCATATGACAGAGCACAGAGAGATGGATATGAGAAATTCTTACTTTCATGCACTATATACAATCTTATTGTACTTGATTTGGCCTGATTTCTTCAAATTTGTGCTGCCCATATTTTAGCTATCATTTAAGAAACAGCCACTTTTTATATAATTTTAAGCTAGAAGGGGCTTTAGAATCTAGTATACCCCATTAATTTCATAGATAAGGCAATTGAAGCCCACACAGAAGGGAAAAGATTTGTTCAGTAATGTATAAGTAGTAATTACTATAGCTGAAATTCAAACCCAGGTCTTGTGATTTTAAATTCAATGTTATTCCCATTACATGGTATATCATTTTCCTTTAACCAGTGGATCTTCTTTTTATCTTTAGCCACAAGCTTTTTATATATATTTTTTCACATTTGTTACTTTTTTAAAGCTCCATTTTGTTGTTACTTTTTTTTTTAAATCAGGCTAACATGGTCCTTTTCTAGTCTGGTAACTCATATCCTATTCATCAAAATATTTCAAGTATTACTAAAAGAAGGACAGGAATTACCCCTGCCAATTCCTCTAGTACCCTAGAATTTAATGTTCCTTGGCCTGCTAAATTAAGTTGGCACTTATATACTGTCTTATGAGATCCTGGTTTATTCTGAGTTTCAACTGTCATTTGACAATTTTTTATTTAAGAAAATATTAATTTTCTGTATTCCCACCATTATCTAGGATCATAATTTAATTAAGAAATTAGGATAACCTTTACTAAGTACTTACTACATCCTATGATAAGTGATGGGAATATAATTTACAAAAGTGACACTGCTTCTGCCCAGTAGGCTCTTTCAGTCTAATGGGAGGGACATCATGGCCATATATAAGTATATATAGAAATATACACAAGGTGATTTTGGAATGAAGGGTACTATGTGGGGAAGCAAGAGGTGGGAAAAGAAGCTTGTGACTATTGCTTTTTCAGAGAGGTGTGCTGAGAATGTAAGTGGAGATATAGAATAAAAAATAGTGGGGTTTATAGGAAAAACAAGGGTTTTTTAAAGGATGAGGGAAATTTGTGAATATTTGTAGACAGCAGGAAGAGAATCAATATGTAGGGAGATAATAATGATTAGAGAAGGTGGGGAGATAAGATGAAAGTCAACTTATTAGATCAGTTGGGAGGGCATAGAATCCGTAATGCATGTAGAGGGGTTGGCCTCAGTGAGGAGAGTGAAAGAAAGGAAAATTAATTATTAAAAACATACTATGCTCTAAACAGTGAGAGAAAGTCCACTTCTGTAAAAATTATAATAATGGAAATAGTGGAGAACATATGGTGTCAAGAATTTATAAGATGGGGAAAAGAGGAAGTTTTTAATGAGTATCATTTTTTAGCAAAGTAAATACATGGAAGTAGTTAAGAGGTTGGGGAAAGGGATGCTGTTGCAGTATTAAACAGGGATATTCTAAAACAACTACCTCTGTGGTGAAAATTGGATAGAGAATTAGATAGGAGTAAAAGAATTGCTTTGTTGGCATTAAGTAGCCAGTTGAAATTAGATAACATATGTTTAACTTTTACCCTGGCAGGAACAGAATTCCTCATCCTCCCATGATCTTTTTCTTGACCTCCAGTTAGCTTTCTGATCTTTAACATTCTTCACCACCTTTAACTGATTCATGATGTCACTACTTTGTTATACTTACAGGGAGTGAAGATATTTCACAGTATGTTCAGAGTATGGCAGATGAATTAGTTTGTTTGGAGAGAAAAAAATTAGGAAAGGCAGGGGAAATAAAGCTGAAAATATATGCAGAGATGCAAATCAGAAAGAGACTTGGAGTACAGGAGTTCAAATTTTACCTTGTGTAACATGAATCTCAGGGGCATATACAACACCCCACATTACACTTGTAAGGAATAGGGAGCTAATGAGCAAGGGGGTGTTGGCAAAATGGAGTGACATGATCAAAGCACTGTTTCAGCAAGACTAAACAACATTCAAGGGGCACTGGGATGAGGAAAGATGAGAAGCAGGAAGGACAGTGAGGAGGTTTTTGCTATAATTTAGAGGTCAAATATTAAAAGCCTAAAGTGGTAGAGTAGGGATAGTTGAAACTTAAAGGAAAGGAGGAATGTGAATGCATTCCCAAGGATAAAGCAAAAAGAATTTGGTAATCTATAGGATCTAAAAGGTAATATATTACCAGAATCATAGACGTCTTTGAGGGTTGAGCATAGGGTGACTGAGAAAATGGTGGTAGAATTATTAGATATAGCTAATTCAAGAAAAGGGAAGACATTGGTAAAAAGAGATTATGAGTTTTAAGTGTCAAAGGATAACACTCAATGGCAATCAAAAGAAAGTATGTTTTTTCAAACTACTTTCCCCTCCATCTCTGTCTTCTTTCACTCATGTGAACATGTTTGTCATTCTCAGAAGCATTTCCTCAGAATAACAGTAGGGTCTGCTAGAAGTACAAAGTCAAAGGATATCCTGGCTAATTAGAATTTTTTCTGGCTCTCATAGCACCTCAGCCTATCCAGGCAGCTGAACCACTAAACAAGGTGAAGCTCAGCCCTCCAGATTTCTACCACAAACTGAAAGAAGCAAAGGATGAAGAGGTACCATTTTGGATGAATGACTGTAAATGGAGAATCAACAATCTTCCTTCAGTATAAGGGCTGAAGAACTTCTAGTGGTTATTTTTTATTGTCAAGAAATGCCTCCTGGGCATCCAAAAGCTATAGAGAGCTCCCTCATCTATCCATGTCTATGCCCAGGATTTCCAGTTTATTTTAATTTCTAGCTCTAATATACGTCCCTGAATTCCCTTTCTGTTTCCGAAGTAAAAAAAAAAATATCACATCTGACCCTTGTTCTCACCTTGGGGCTCTCCTTCCCCTCATTGCATTTAAAAGATATGTTGTTTCTACTATGTGACAGTCTTATAAGTACTGACATCGAGCATTAATTATAGTGTTCATTTGTTTTTTAAAGTTTGTCTATTTGGAGAAAATCAGGGAAAGATTCATCTAATTGTCCTACAAGGCAGACTGTAATGTTTGCCACATGGAACACACAATAGTAATACAATGGGTTTTATAGAAGGGAAAAATTCAACTCAGTTCCACAAAATTTAGTAAGCACATATCTTATGTGAGGCACTGTGTGAGGTTCTAGGTATACAAAGATAAAATTCCTGCCCTTAAAGAACTTGCTTTGAACTCAGGATACCCAGTACTGAGGAAGGAGGAGCATGAGTAACTGGGAGAAAATATAGTAGGGAAATTTGAACTGAACCGTGAATGGAAATAAGGGTTCTGAGAAGGTGCTTGGAATTGGCAAATTGAAAACAAAACAAAACAAAACAAAAGTGAGCCTGCACTAGCTGCCAAAAAGCTGGCATTCTTCTAAAGGGATGCAACATGAATAGATTTCTTGGACCATTGATAAAATCATAGGTTCATTCAAGAATAATAACAACAAAAAGAGAGGCCGAGAGGAGTATTTATTTTTTAATTAATCAATTTATTTTTAGTTTTCTACATTCACTTTCATAAAATTTTGAGTTCCAAACTTTTCCCCCATCTCTCCCCTCCCTCCACACCAATGACATTCAGTTTGATATAGGCTCTACATATGCATTCGTAGTGAAGCTATTTTCATATTAGTCATGTTATAAAGACATATTAGAACCAATGGGAAAAACCATGAAAAAGAAGAAACAAAAAAAGGGAGGAAACAATATGCTCTGATCTGCATTCAGACTCCATATTTTTGTTTTGCTTTGTTTCTGAATATGGACAGCATTTACCATCATGAGTCCTTTGGAGTCTGTCTTAGATCCTTGCATTGCTAAGAAGAGATAAGTGTATCAAAGTTAGTCATCACACATTGTGGTTGTTACTCTGTACAAGATTCTCCTGGTTCTGCTCACTTCACTCAGCATCAGTTTATATAAGGCTTTCCAGGTTTTTTTGAAGTCCACCTGCCCATCATTTCTTATAGCAAAATAGTTTTCTATTACATTCACATACCACAACTTGTTCAGATATTCCCCAACTGATGGTCATCTTCTTAATTTCCAATTCTTTGTCACCATGAGAAGAGTTACTATAAATATTTTGTACATGTGGGTCCTTTTCCCATTTGTATGATCACTTTGGGATACAGCCCTATAAGTGCTATTGCTGGGTCAAAGGTAACACACATTTTTGTAGCTCTTTGGGTAGAGTTGGATCAGTTCACAACTCCACAAACAATGCATTAGTGTTCTAATTTTCCCACATTTTCTCCAGAATTTATCTTTTTCCTGTTTTGTCATGTTAGCCAATCTAATAGGTGTGATGTGGTACCTCAGAGTCATGTTGATTAGCATTTCTCTAATCAATAGTGATTTAGAGAATTTTGTAATATGACTGTAGCTTTAATTTCTTCATCTGAAAATTGTGTGTTCATTCCCTTTGACCATTTATCAATTGGGGAATGACTTGTATTCTTATAAATTTGACTCACTTCCCTACATATTTTTAGAAATAAGGCCTTTATCAGAGACATTGCTTGTAAAAATTATTTCCCAGTTTTCTTTTTCCTTCCTAATCTTGGTTGCATTGACATTGTTTGAGCAAAACCTTTTCAATTTAATGTAATCAAAATTATCAGTTTTGTATTTCATAGCATTCCCTGTCTCTTGTTTGGTCATAAATTCTTCCATTCTCCATAAATCTGACAGGTAAATGACTTCTTGCTCTCCCAGTTTGCTTATAATATCAGCCTTTCTATCTAAACCATGCGCCCATTTTTACTTTATTTTGGTGTACAGTTTAAGATATTGATCTATGTTTGGTTTCTGCCAGCTGTTTTCCAGTTTTCCCAGCAGAGAAGGAGTATTAAAAAAAAATCACTGATAGAAGTGGATAGTATGATGAGACTCTATAGTGGAATGAAGACATCCCTGCTCAACTCTTACATAAACAGTTTTTTCTTTTTTTTTGTTTATTTGTTTTTGCAAAGAAAAAAATTATCTTTGGGCTAGAAGAAGCATAAAAAAATCTAGCAGGAAGTTAATAGAAAATATAAATGTGGGAATAATACAATAGCACTTGCTTTTCTTCTATAAAATCATGTTGCCTCGCCTAGATAATCTACATCAGAGAGTACCAAATTGGGAAATGTGATGACTGAGTCACTAGTAAGTGACTTCGAATGATTGTGGAGAAGAGGAATATGGTGGGAATAGAGAAAAGCATATCATCTATCATTTTTTAAAATGCATAAATGGAGGGTACAAACCATTGGTCAGTTGCAGCTAGACTTTAGTTCTCAGCAAAATTCTAGAATCTATTTTTAAATAGATAGTGAACGACAGGGGAAAAGAAACTAAAAATGACAAAGAGCCAGCATAGTTATGAAAAAAAAAAGCTTACACAAGAACAACCTGGTTTCCTTTTTTTTTTTAAATAAATTAGTAGATGAAGAAAATGCAATAGGTCCAAAATGACAATAATAATTATACAAAGAAATGCATAGAATATGTCATACTATCAAAGAAAAAAATCATGGATTTGGGATAGATGATGCACTTAGATGGATTAAGGAATGGGGGAATAAATGGACCCAAAGAGTAGTCATAACACATAGTTAGACTCTAGACTTCCTCTTACAAACTAGCACATATAATAACTTGTTGAGTCTCTAGAACTCAATGTAATACATTTCTTCCTAAGGGTAGGTATACTTTTGAGAGATCTGGGTGTTTTTCTGATATTATCAACCCAAATCCTGTGAGGAGAATTGTATCAACTGATGGAGATTGTTATAAGTAGAACCAGAAAAGAATAGAAAACTATAACTATGATAATATTTCCTCATCTATGAAAAAGGGGATGATAGCCCAAATGAAGTCATGACTTCATGTTGTTCATGACTGAACAACAAAAGTAGAGAAATGTCCATTGAAATTCACCCTTCTTGCAATATTCCTATAGCAATAAATCAGGCAGAGATTTTATTATCATTTATTAGGATCACTTAGGGTAGCAAAGCAGTCTAGTTTCTGTATATATATATCTATATATCTATATATCTATATATCTATATCTATCTATATCTATATCTATATCTATATCTATATCTGTATCTGTATCTGTATCTGTATCTGTATCTGTATCTGTATCTGTATCTATCTATATCTGTATCTATCTATATCTATATCTATATCTATATCTATATCTATATCTATATCTATATCTATATCTATATCTATATCTATATCTATATCTATATCTATATCTATATCTATATCTATATCTATCTATCTGTATCTGTATCTGTATCTGTAGCTATCTGTATCTATATCTATATCTATATCTATATCTATATCTATATCTATATCTATATCTATATCTATATCTATATCTATATCTATATCTATATCTATATCTATATCTATATCTATATCTATATCTATATCTATATCTATATCTATATCTATCTATATCTATCTCTATCTCTATCTCTATCTCTATCTCTATCTCTATCTATCTATCTATCTATCTATCTATCTATCTATCTATCTAATTTCTTACAGATAGATGCAGTCATGGAAAAGGGAACCCGTAAACTCCTGGCCATCATTATCTCTAACACTAAATTTGACCACCTAAATGACCAAAATGAGGCTTGATTTGACATTCAGAGAATGATGGAGCTACTTCAGGACCTGGGATATAGTGTAGATGTCAAAGAAAGCTGTACATCATTGGTGATACAATGACACAGCACACTGCCCATGCCTTCCTTTTCCCAGAAGGAAATGAATCACTAGTATATGCACCAGGGGCAATCAATCTCATTTCCTTGCATTTGTTTCCATCTTATAGAAAAGCTAGGTAGTGCAGGTGATAGAGTTTAGGACCTATAGTTAGGACCTGAGTTTAAATCCAATTTGAGATACTTATAGCAGTGCTACTTTGGGCAAGTTACTTGACCGTTGCTAGCCTCAGTTTCCTCCACTGTAAAATGGGGACAATAATACCACCTACTTCCCAGGATTGTTGTGAGCATTAAAAAAGATTATATTTATAAAAAAAGTGCTTAACACATTGCTTGGAACATAGTGGGTGCTATATGAAAGCTAGCTGTTGTTGCTTCTTCCATGAAAATTATCTCATCAAATATACTCATCCATATCACCTGAACTACATTAGACCCTCAGTCAATATATTTTTTTAATTTATTTTTATTTATCAACAATCATGTCCATAAGCTTTTGGATTTTACATTTTTCTCCTCCTCCCTCTCCACCTTCCTCCTCAAGATGGCATGCAATCTGACATAGGCTCTACATATACATTCCTATTAAACGTATTTTTACATCAGTGATATTGTAAGGAAGAATTAGAACCAATAGAAGAAACCACAAGAAAGAGAAAATAAAACAAAACAGAAGAAAACAAAAGCAAATATTATGCTTCAATCTGCATTCGAACTCCATAGTTCTTTCTTTGGATGTGGATAGAATTTTCTTTTCTTTTTTTTCTTCTTTTTTAGGCAATTGGGGTTAAGTGATTTGCCCAGGGTCACACAGCTAGTAAGTGTCAAGTGTTTGGTCTAAGGACAGATTTGAACTCAGGTCCTCCTGACTTCAGAGCTGGTGCTCCACCCACTGTGCCACCTAGCTTCTCCTAAGATAGCATTTTCCATCGTGAGACCTTTGGAGATGTCTTAGAGCCTTGCATTGCTGAGAAGGGCTAATTCTATCAATGTTAGTTATCACACAATGTGGCTGTTACTGTATGCAATGTTATTCTGGTTTGCTTACTTCACTCAGCATCAGTCTGTGCAAGTCTTTCCAGGTTTTTCTGAAGTCTGCCTGCTCATCATTTCTTATAGCACAATAGTATTTCATGACATTAATGTACCACAACTTGTTCAGCCAATCCCCAATTGATGGGCACCCTATCAATTTCCAATTGTTTGCCACCACAAAAAGAGCTGCTATAAATATTTTGTCACATATGGGTCCTTTTCCCTTTTGGGATACAGCCCTAGAAAGTGCTGTTGCTGGGTCAATGCGAAAGCACATTTTTACAGCCCTTTGGACATAACTCCAAATTGCTCTCCAAAATGGTTGGATTATTTTACAACTCCACCAATAATGCATCAGTGTTACAATTTTCCCATATATTCTCCAACATTTATCATTTTCTTGTTTTGTCATGTTGGCCAATCTAATAGGTGTGAAATGGTAACTCAGACTTGTTTTGATTTGCATTTCTCTAATCAATAGTGATTTAGAGCATGTAGATGGCTTTAATTTCTTAATCTTAGAACTGCTTGTTCATATCCTTTGACCATTTATCAATTGAAGAATTGGTCAATAATTTTTCAGTGTCTCTTAGGAAATGAAGTCATTGTTGGAGGAGTTTGCCCACTGGCCAGAACACAAGTCCTTGGAGAGCACCTTCCTTGTGTTCATGTCTCATGGCACCAATGATGGCATCTTTGGGATAAAGTACAAACGAGAAGACCCAGATATTCTGGCCAATGATACCATCTTTGAAATTTTCAACAATAGTAACTATTGCAGATTGAGACATAAACCAAAAGTTATCATTATTCATGGATACCAAGTAGGTGAGTTTTTGGTTATATATTATGCTAAATATGGCCAGCATTTACCCAGACCTTTGAAGGCTGGTCTATTCTATCCCAGGGAGAAAGAAGTAGCTACCTAGTCATAACTTTATGTTATTTACTAGGATAGGGAAATTACAATAGACTTCATTAAACTGTATTTATCATGTCTCAGAAGCATCAGTGAGTTACCAAGTTACCTCACATATTGAGAACTTGTCCATCTTACTGGTAATTTGTTATATGTCAAACAGAGATTTCTCCTTGAGTTTGTATTTTTCTTCATTCAAAATCAATGTGTTCTTTCACAATGATAAAGGGGATTACCTCTGTGCATGTGAATGTGCATGCATGTATATGCATATAAATATGCTTCCAAAGATAATGAACCACTTTAGCAATCATTGTAGTGGTACTGTAATGAAGGCAACTGTCATAATTTTTACCCATGTGACCTAGGTATGATTTCAGAACAAAGTGCAGTAGCAGCTTCAGGAGGCAGCTGTGCCCAGTCCTCCAAAGATGACAAAAAGACCTTTTGGAAGGATTTTGCTGGAAAAGAGCATGTGGAGAAGGACTTCATTTGTTTTCACTCTATAACTCCACATAAGTGTCTTCCCAGAAGGGAACTTAGAACTCTTTCACTACTCCCCATACACTGGTCTTAAATAATCTCTCTTTTGTCCAATCAGAAAATCTATGTCCCTAGTATAGTGGGAGACTTTAGATGATGGGAAGGATTGAAATCTAATTCCCTTGGTATTTTAATGCCCATGTTCTTCCTGCCTTGTTGATATTAAGAGGACTTCCCAAATCAATAGAACTGTGATGACAATAAAGATAAATCTGCTGAATCTCATAAAATTAAAGAGAAAAGAGAAAGAAAAATCACAGGCAAAATAATCAAATAGAATCAACATTGGAAGAAACCTCAGGTGTCATCTAGTTAATCTGTGCCTGAAAAAGAGCCCCTTCTACAGCACCTGTCATCTAGCCTTTGCTTAAAGACCTCCAATATAGGGAAACCATTACTTTCTGATACACCTATCCCACTTTTGGACTGATGCACACAAGACTTTTTGTTTGCTTGCTTGTTTGTCTGTTTTTTCCTGGACTCAATCTATTCTTTCCTCTTTTTTACTTCCAACCATTTCTCCTGGTTCTGTACTATAGAATCCATCAAAACAAATCAAATTTTTCTATCACCCTTTAAATAATTGAAGACATTGATCATGCTCTCTCCCTCCCCCAACCTCCTACCCTGAGCTTTCCTTATTCAGGTTAAGCATTTTCAGTTCCTTCAAACAAAACTCATATGTCATGATTGTGGCCCTTCCTCATCCATGTTGTCTTCCTTGGATATTTGCTTGCTTAGAGAATTTCCTTCTTATAATGCATGTGTGTAAGTGTGCGGTTTAACGTTGAAGAGTTAAAAGGATGAAAGCATTAACAGCAACACCAACAACAATAGCTTCATGGAAGATGTGAAATCAGTAAATGTAGTCAGTTATTGGTCTGTTTATCAGTTATTTTTGGTCAGTTAGTATCTAGCATTAGAAAAGCTGATGGGAATGATTCTCACAAGCATTTTGGGGATAGTTATAATGAGTGGAGTGAAAATTCTTACCTATTAAGTTTAGGCAGTAGAATATAGAACATTCTAATTAAAGTTTTAGTCAATTTCTTGCTTAAATATTGTTTGCAATCCCTCTAAGATATATGACTACTAGATGGAATTCTTCAACATCAGTTTATTTTAGATAACGTATGAACTAGGCCCTGGAAAGTCTGGTGGCTACTGGCTATGTCTCATCCCAGAGCTATCTCCAAGAAAGTACCAAATGTTCTGATGTTCTCAGAGAATGGGTACTGTTCTATCCCCATTAGCTCCTCATGTCTCTAGGTGACAGTGTCTATGTCATGACCTAAAGGATGTATTCAGGATATCTTTATCCCATCATAATGTTTCTAAAGCCTCCAAGTACTGGCAATCCTTATTTCTTCTCCAAATCTATTCTATTTAAAAGCACCTCAGTATTGCATCTCATCATGTAGACATGACAAAATGAAGCCAGCTCAAAGACAACCAGATGGATACAACAGTACATAGTTATAGAATCAAGAAAAGGAACACAATCAGAATGCAAATTCAAACAATGATGCCATGGAATGTGTGGCTTCAGGTTTTCTCATACGTAGGCAATCTTTAGCCAGCTTATAAACATGGACAGAAATTTCAGTATACAATACAGTTACTTAGCCCTGTCAGTTCCTTTCCCCATGGGAACAATAAATCATGATTCATGTAATAAAACAGAATATTCATATTGTGTTCTACTCATGACCCTCATGAAGGCCAAAGTAAGTTGAAAGAACTCAAGGATCAGGATAATTCAATTCCATTTTTTAGCATAAGTATGGTCTTGGAAATAAACCAGCTTAGAAAAAAGCTCCGTATGCTGCCTTTACCCTCTTTCTTTTGCCTTGTATCATGTCTCATCCACTGGTAGTGGCTCAAAGGCAGTACAGTCTAATAGAGAAGTGGTGATTGGACAAGAACACACTCCACCCTCTTCTTTCAACTTTCTTTTGATCTTACAGATGTTCTTGCAAACCAATGATACTTGCTTTCTTCTGCACACCATTCACTTCTGTTGTGAATATTTGTTGTCTTGGTCACTGTCTTTGAAGAAACAGGTTTCAGAGAATAAATGTGCCACACATTTTTCTCCCAGAGAAATATTTAAAAGACCTACAAATGCTCTTCAATTGAAGTGTACTTAAATAACTGTGATCATATGATTAGCTTCAAAACTTCGTATTTAACAGACACAGGTAATCATATTAAATATAAAACCCAAAGTGCCTGCAAGTTCCTAACATAGGAATCACACTAAAAATAAAAAGGCATACTATAAATGTATTATTAATGTATGAAACTAACATAATTCATGACACATATTCAATATATCAGAAAACTTCGTTCACCCAAGAAACAAACACAAAACATCATACTGTGTATTGTGAATAGTGACAGATTCATAGATGCGGAAACCATATTCCCCAATAGCAATAGTATGAGTATATCAATGCACACTATCACAAATAGCTAAGAAGTCAAATAGCATAAAAAGCACATTGGTTAGAAAAAAATTATGCACAACACATAATAGTATATGTTGCAGCTGTATATTAAAACATACACACACATTATATGTGCTCCAGCAATGGAAATCATTTGTCTATAAAAATAATCACTTCCTTCTAAACATTTCTTAGATTTCATAATTTACCTAATAAGCCTAGTAATTTTAATATAACCTCTTAAACTGGAGAATGGCCCAGACTAACTATGACTATCTATTGATCTAATGAGGTATAATCCCAACTCTGCTTCTAGCCCCTTTACTTATCTTCTGTTTACTAGGTGTCTATAGCTGGAGTAGTAGGTTAAAAAGGGACTGTCTCTGGATTCATCTCTCTTATCGTTTTGAAACAAAGCCATCTTTGTGGTACAAGTCTAAGCTTGGTCGACTTCCCTCACCCACTAGATGTTATCTATATCATCTGAGTCAGAGCTATGTGAATTGTCAAGTTCAAACAATCTCTCCACAATTAGTGAGTAGATTTTCTTCTTAGGGGAAACCCACATGACTATCCATCAGTCATTTCCCCTTCAGCAAGAAGTCTTACTAAGTCCCCAGTGGGCAATAGGTCCTTGTAGTACCCCTTGCAGATTGGCAAGTTTCCCATCCTGTCAGATACTTATGATGAAATGATTTTCCATTTTTCCACTTTCTTATGTGTGCACTGAAATTATTTAGTGAAACTATAATCCTTTGCTGAAGATATTGAAAATGAATTTTCGTTCATGCTATAACTTGTTTTTATCAGAAATATTCTGAGCTTAGGTCTTGGGTAGGGATAGGGTCTCCTTTAATGATTCATGCATCTGAAATGCATAATAGTTGTGAGTATCTCTATCTTGTATATACTCTGAGACTCAAAACACATACCATTGAGTCCATGGGCAAGCCTGGTTCTCCTTGAAAAATCATCAGGTGTGGAGTAAGGTCCATGTCATCATTCCTGCAAGCATTGTGTGTCCAAATTAGAAATGTTAAATGTTAACTGAGCATTCTGCTCAAACCTCACCAGTATCCTGAGCAAGTGCAGCAGTTCAGCAACGTGTGATATAATCACTTGGGCTATGAGTTTTTTGAGACTTGGATTGGATTTCTGCCAAGATTAACAACTACTGCATTAATATGTTTTCAAAGTGTCTGCCGTGGTCAGAGTAGATATTATTAGCAATGTCACATACACAGGAATACTTCTTTCTCATCACCTTAGCAAATAAAAATATTTTCTAATTCTTTGTTAGTTAAACCAACGTCTGCTGCCACTAAGATGCTCTAATACATCACTAATATGTTCTTTTTATCTCCTAAAAAACAAAACGTTTAAGCATAGAGGCTTTAAAGGCTTTCTGGTACTTGTACTCTCTTTGCAGGCCTTTCCTTTGATCATATAAAGGGCAAGTTTACCTTTTTATAGACATTTGCTAGTATTCAGAACCATCAAAATCTGCTTATTACTAGCTTAAGTACCCTCTATTGGTTCATATGTCTGAACATAGTGGGTAATGCTTCCATGATCCCAGCATGAAATACCTTGGGTAGTACCAATTGATTTTTGTATTATATATGGAAACAATTAAAGTCCAGTATGACATCCCAATTTGTATTTATAATTTTTGCCATTTTCTCAATTGTAAGGTATCTTCTAGGGAGTGAAGTTTGGCTCTCCAAGGAGCATTCCATTTTTTTTTAGCTTCTATCATTTCTTATGAATTTTCATTTTAAAATTTCTTTTGTTGTGAGTCATATAAGTTTGACTGAGGCACAAAGAGCCAGTTCAACATAATAAAATACGCAAATAAACAGTACTTGTTTGGTGGATGCTGAAGACTTTCAAGTATCTTTCCATATTACAAAAGCCCATATCTAAGAATATCATTCATCTATACTCCATCTGTGATTTTATGGTAGCTTCACATTCAATGACTCTAGAGGAGAGGACATTTGTATCCACATTAATTTTTTTCTGGTTGGATAGAATGAATGAGGAAATTAACAGGAACTTATTAAGCTCTTACTATGTAAAGGCTACTTCACCAATTACTGAGGATTCAAATGTAAAGGTGATCCTATCCCACAAAGAATTTCTATTCTACTAAAGGAGGCAACATATATGAAATAGTGGCAGCTCAGAAGGGGTATTTATGTGTATATAAAAAATGTATGTATACACAAATTTTATATATATATATATATATATATATATATATATACATATATGCATGTGAATATATGTCTGCATACACACATGTATATATATATATATATATATATATATACACACACACACGTGCACAATACATACATATACACATATATAGAGAGATTTTAAAAGATAATGATGTGTGCCACAGGAAGAAGGTTAACACATCCTTTCTAGAGTCAATGACAATATGAATTTGAACATGGATTGAGAATTGGAAAGCGAAGTGGGGAGGACTGTACAAGTGAAGTAGAAAGGGCTATATAGGG